TCTCTAGCTGGCTGTGGGAAGCCACAGGAGGCTTTGGAGCTGGGTCAGATAGTGAGTGCTGGTGGCCCAAGTGGGAGGAGAGAGCGGACACAATGATACTCAGCAGCGGCAATGGTAACTCTGGGCCTGCACACCAGTAGGGGCAGCTCCAGCCTCCAGGAAGGAGAGGCTCTGACCATGGCGCCTGGCCCACTAGCAAGGCCACCATGGACCCAGTCCCTGTCCCAGTCAGCAAGACTAGGGGATGGCAGAGCCAGCTCAGGGAGAAGGTTCTACAGGAAACCCAAGCTGAACCTCTGGGACCTGTGGCCCAGTCTCAGAGTTGATGACTTCCAGGTTTCCAGGTCAGAAGTCCCACAGGCCTTTCACAAACCGGGACACGCACTAATGAGTGATGCATTCATAGTCAGCCAACCCAGAAATTGCACCTGATCCACCCTTGTAGACTGAAGCATTCAGATGGCCCTTTCACAAGTCAGAGGCAGTAAAAACCGCCTTTCTATATGGTTCAGACTCTGCCGGGTCACCCTGATAATGACAGTGGGCTTCTCCGAGGTTTTTCTGAGCCCATGCCTGTCAGACTGGGACAAGGATAAGGTCAGGTTCTGGGCAGAGGACTCAGGTTCAAATCCCCACCTGCCCCAACCAGCTGGTAGCTTAACTTCCTCTGAAAGATAATCAATACTGTAAGTCCAGGGGTAAGTGTTACCCAAAATAGTGCACACAAGCACCACTCAGAGCATGGGAGCGCAGTCAGGGCACTGGCTCTTCTTCCCTCCTTTTCAGCCCATTCCTATCCACACTGCACGCTCTTCTATCTCCACCACACTGGCTGCCCAACTCTGGCCACCAGCCTCTCTCACTTTCCACTCTGCACCTGCGCATTCCAGACTCAGTGCTCTATCTGTGGCAGGGCTAGCCTCCAGCCTAGTGGACATGCTCTGGCCAATGCTGGTTCTGTCTGTGCCCCCTGCCTGGTGGCCCTGTGTTTCTGCCCAGGAGACAGTCTACCAAGATGGAGCATGCAGCTCCTACTTCCTCTCAGTGCCTCCAATGCCCACGCAGAGCTGGGCATAGTGGTCACCACAAAACAACATCCACACAGCAGGCATGGCCAACTGCTGCCTTGTGACGGCACTGCCAAGCCAGGCATGAGCCACAGGTCAGAGGCTGAGCAACTCACATGACCTCGGCCTTTCACTGAGAGGAGGGAGGAACAGGTAGAGGAACAAAGGGGCAAATGAGAGGTCGTGTCAGAGGAGGTGCTGGGAATCCTGCAAGACATCCCGGTGGAAGTGCCAAGGTAACACCTGAGCCAGGCACTGGTCAGAGCTTGACCTGAGCCAGGCATCCATAGGACAGTCAGAGCTGAAATCAGGGAGGTGGATGCCGTCAGCACTTGGAGGAAAAGGAGAAACCCTTGGGTGGAGACTGAGCATTCTGGCATCCAGAGACAAGCAAAGAGAAGACACCTGCAAAGTCCACAAGGATTGCAGGGTATGATGTGGAACCCAGGAGAGAGCAGCCTCCTGCGAGCCACAGGCAGCAGCTTGGGTGGAGGTGTAATCTAGTGCCCACTCCTTTCTCTGAATACCAAGAGAGATGGCATGAGAAATCACCCCTAGGCCAGGCAACACAGCAGTGCCCATGACATGATGGGGCCAGATGTGACTAGACACACAGGTTCAGTAGGGCAGCTCTTCTGGGAACCTGTGCTCAGATAGCTATTCTGCTTGCTAGTGTTCAGATGGTGCTGTCACAGCACGTGGTATGATTGTGGGTGGCCCTGCGATGTCATAGCACATGGTATGGCTGTCACAGCACATGGTACAGCTGTGGGTAATACAGCTGTGGGTAACCTTACGATGTCATAGCATGTGGTACAGCTGTGGGTAACCCTCTGATGTCACAGCACGTGGTACAACCATGGGTGACCCTGCAATGTCAGGGCACGTGGTATGGCTGTGGGTGACCCTGCGATGTCACGGCATGTGGTATGGCCATCACAGTATATGGTAAGGTTGTGGTTGATCGTGCAGAAGGGCCATCAAAGACCCATCAAAGAGCAGGGCAGAAAAATAAGTTGTCAACATCTGTCCCAAGATGCATGTGGCATACCTGGAGCTCTCAGGGACCCAGTGCTGTCCCTCTGCAGTCACATTTGACTTCTTAGACCATCCCACCACACATCCTCATATGTCCCGCTCCAGCAGTATCTCTGTTCCTGGTGCCTTCTCTGCTTGTGACCTGGAGGCTGGGTGGGGGCCCAAGCTTCTGTGGCTGGGCAGGGTCATGTGAGCCACAGCCTGAGCACAAATGCTAACTCCTTTGTTTCCAAGACAGATGTAGGGTATGAGTAGGTCTCTGGCTCTCCCGTGCTACATAGAAAGGGGCAATAGCGCCACCTGCCTCAGAGGCAGAGGACTGCACCTGGTACCTGGCTAGCACTCTGAAAGAGTTGATGTTGCTGGAACCTGTACCAGGAACAGGATTTATTCCTTTTCTTTTTGGGTCTATCTTTTATTTTAATTTAATTTTTATTTTTTGGAGTGGTTTTTTTACTATAGAGCACGTATGCTCACCAGAAATAGACACACAGACAGAAAGCAAGAAATCACCCCCCAGACGCGCTGGCCACACCCTGTCCCTCTGCAGTCACATTTGACTTCTTAGACCATCCCACCACACATCCTCATATGTCCCGCTCCAGCAGTATCTCTGTTCCTGGTGCCTTCTCTGCTTGTGACCTGGAGGCTGGGTGGGGGCCCAAGCTTCTGTGGCTGGGCAGGGTCATGTGAGCCACAGCCTGAGCACAAATGCTAACTCCTTTGTTTCCAAGACAGATGTAGGGTATGAGTAGGTCTCTGGCTCTCCCGTGCTACATAGAAAGGGGCAATAGCGCCACCTGCCTCAGAGGCAGAGGACTGCACCTGGTACCTGGCTAGCACTCTGAAAGAGTTGATGTTGCTGGAACCTGTACCAGGAACAGGATTTATTCCTTTTCTTTTTGGGTCTATCTTTTATTTTAATTTAATTTTTATTTTTTGGAGTGGTTTTTTTACTATAGAGCACGTATGCTCACCAGAAATAGACACACAGACAGAAAGCAAGAAATCACCCCCCAGCGGCGATGGCCACACCGTAATCCCTTCTCCTCCATTCTCCTCTTAGGATCTTGGGCACGCACGCACGCACATGCGCCTGGCGTGAGTTTAAGCCGCTGGGTCCAAAACTCAAACCACAGTCAACTACATGGGAGTTCAACGACTTAGCCATTACGCTAACTGCTAGTCCCATCTTTTTGGGTCTATCTCATCTACCTCTTTTGTGAGAGACAAGAGGAGAGACAGGTACCCTCAGCAGGGTCCTGCCATGCTGAGACCCACCTCCCACTCCCAACCTTCCCGGGTCACTGCATGGCCAACCTCGATTCTGACCCAGGCCTGCCATGTGGCTCCAGCATCACATGGCAGCACCCTGCCACTACACCCCCACAGCTGAGCCTGGAGCAGAATTTCTGTAGAGGCACAGGACGTGGTGATCTGGTCCTACCTTAGCCAGCCAGGCCCTCCATCCTGTTTTGCTCTTTCACACCCTAAGTGCACGGGCACAGCAGTAGCATCACACAGTAGGAAGACACAGCGGGGTTCAGCTCGACCTCCCAGTTCCCCCTCAGTCTCTTTTGCTGAAAAGCTCTGCTCCTCCCAGGCAGCCCATTCCATTCTTGGTTAGCAGTCCCTGCAAGTTCTTCCTTCCAGTGAGCTAATACTGCCCCTGACTCTCTGCTCCTCATCCTTGCCCCAGCATTTGCATCATCTTGGCCAAGTGCTGCCTCCTGGGCCTTGACAGTTTGCTCGCCTCAACCCTTGAGTCTTGGCAGTAGCCTAGAGCCTCTGGAGTGAGAAGTCACCTCCCCAGTCAGACCTCAATATGGTTTCACCCTACATGAGACTCTTCACCAAGGGCATTCACATTGGCAGCTGCCACCACACCCCCATTCTGGGGAGCCCAAATGCAGGACTTAACGAGTCAGAGTTACAGGCTCATAAATACACAAGTTTAGGGTTAGCCATGGCTTTAAGCAACACGTGACCCTAATCTCAAACGATGTCACCAAGGACTCTGTTTCTGTGGCTTATCTTTAGGCGTTCTCTTTCCCATAGTCCTCGGCATCTCCAGGGTCAAAAACGGCTGTCACAGCTGGGTCTCAGCCTTATCTATGCACACACACACACATGCACACCAAGTACATACACTGATACCCTATCACATGTAGCTAGATAGATCCCTCTTTTGGCTACCAGAGCACAGACAGCCATATGGGTGCCAAGTCCAACTGACAAGTCTGACTGCAGAGCCAGGGCCCCATCCCTGGGCAGGCCTCTCTGTGGGGTCTTGTAGTGCAGGCATAACTGCTGTGGCCTCCCTGACACACAAGCAGCCAATGGCACTCATGGCCCCATGGCCTTGGCCTGCTCACACAGCCTGACCACAGCAATCCAAGCAGGGCAGGGGAGACTTGGAGGTCATCAGCTCCAGACCAGACCTAGACCCAGATCCACTGCCAGTTCCTTGTTGGCAGCACTAGAACTGATCAGCTCAGCAGCTAGGTGTGAGACTCTTGCTCAACAACTTGGAGATGCTCTCAGATGTTTCCTCACAGCACAGAATAGCTGCTGCAGCTCCACACATCACATGTTTGTATGACAATGTACAAAGCCAGGAAAGAAAGGGCATTTCCTGTCCCAAATCTCTTATGAAGATGAAAATTTGTCCCAGAGTTGCTCAGAGGATTTTGCCTGGAGTCCCATTGGCTAAAACTGGGTTCCTTGCTTGTGCCCCAGACAAAAGAGGCTGGGAGGGTGACTGGCTTTCCTTCCTCGCTGATGTTGCTGGGACCACAGTGGCCTAGACAGCTCACCTGTGCAGAGGAACCTGGGTGGGAAAGGAGGGTTCACAGTCCCATATTCTCCTCAACACCTGTTTCTCTCCTGCCACAGGTTAGAGCGCCCCACCCTTCAGCGAGTCAGCCCAGAGCCAAGAGATGAGAGTGGCCAACATGAGGACAGTGGGGCCCAAGGTCCTTCCCCAGGAGGAGCCTGGCCAGCAGACAGCAGTTCCAGAGCCATAGCCCTGGATGAAGGTTTGTCCCTGTGCACCCAGCTGTCCACCTGGCTCATGGGTTACTAACATCCCAAGGCCACCATGAGCCTCAAAGCACAACCCCACCCCTCACTGCTCAGTGGGCTTCCTGAACCACAGAACTTCCCACCCCTTAGGACCTGGAGTTTGTGGAGCCTTCGGGGCTAGGGAAGGAGAGGGATTGGTTCCTCATGGCTAGAAAAGCTGGCCAAAACAGTACCTGGGTGCTCACTTGGCCCTGGTAGGGGCAAAGGAAACCTAAATGACCCTGACAATCATGCCATGCACGCACACTCACACTCACAGCATCAGAAAGGTCCCAGTAGAGAAAACAAGTGGTCTACTGGAGACACTCATCAGACTGCCACAGAACAGCCCCTGCTCTAACTCTGCCCGCTGAGCCCTTTCTACTATGGGATATGAAGACGGACCGCCTGAGCCAGGCACACAGCTGGGAGAGCCAGGCTGTAGTGCAGGACATCTCAGGGTGCCTGAGTCCATGGCCCCTAGCCTGCCAGGCAGCCAGTATTGCCTAAGATGCAGGCCTACCCAGAGCTCCTGTATGGACTCTTCAGGGGCCTTGTCCACCTGGATATGTTTTCCAACAGCTGAGTCAGGGCAGGCACTGATTGTGAGCCTTAGGCCACTTGTCCCAGACTGGCTCAAGTGAGGAAGCCTGTGGGCTTTGGCATGGCTGTGAGGCCAGCAGATTGCACCCATGCTGCTGCTGCTTTCTACACGAGTCCCTTCAGCAGAAGGCATGGCCCTCGGGTAGCAAGGTAGACACAGGTGGCTTCAGGCCCAGGTTTTCCCAACTTGGGCCAAGGCAGGGGACACTCTTGGGTCCCCCAAGACAGTCCGTGCTCTACTTGGCCTGGCTCAAGGGCTGGAAGCTAAGATGGCACAGGGTGATGGGGTCCCCTGGGGAGAGTCGGAGCAGACATAGTGGGGTGCAGCATGATGGCCTAGGGTGGTGATGCCCAGCTGGATCCCACAGAGCCAAGCACAGCCGTGTTGTGTTCCACATCCCCCAAAGGTGAGGCCTATTGTCTCAGAGTTGGGGACTGTCCTGCCCAGGGCCCCACACCCCATAGCCCGGAAGTGCGTGACTGGGTCAGTGCATCCTAAATGGAAGCAGTTCTCGCCTGTTTCTGGGAGGGGTTCAGCACCTGAACTCAAACACCCTCACCTCACCCTGCACCAGCATCTCGTGCTTC